TGAGCCTGAAAGAGCCTCATGGGGAAAATACCAAGTTCCCACTGACAACATGATCTGAACACGATCCCTCACATGACCACAAAACGAGAAAATACACGAACCTCTGGAATCAAAGCTGGTCAAAGGTTTCCACACACACACACATGCACACGCACACACACACACACACACCACCTGGTCCAGGAGCTCTGATTGGCTGTGTCCTGTGAGGCCCTGCAGCGGAGGACACTCCCACAGGCAGGTGAAGGAGCAGAGGATCAGTTCACGTCTCAGTTCTCACGGCAGCCTTCAGGACAGCAGGACGACCCCCCGGCCTGTGGAGGGTTCGATGCCGGCGAGCGTGATGACAGAACAGTGTGTGAACCAGCAGACGTCTCAGGAAGAGGCCAGGAAGTGTAACAGAGGAGCCACAAGGCCCGAGCAGAGGGACGATCAGTGAGTCGGACACACAGGAGACATACAGAGAGTGCTGTTGAACGCTTGTTGTTTTTATCTGCAGTCGTGTTGCAGCAGTTTGAATGTGACTGTGGCGGAGCAGCATTCGCTTCTGTGAAAATTAGACTCAAACGTTTCTCGATCAGAGATATTTTCTTGTTCCAGCTCCTCAGATGTGACATTCACAGTGATGTGTAAATAATAACATGTAAATAATCCTGAGCTGACCCTGACCGATGAATCAAAGACAACATGAACTCTTATCGGATCATGTTGACCGACGTTAGGTAACAGAAATCAGCCCAGTAATTCCAAAGATATGTCGAAGGTCGTTGATGTTGAAACTCATTTGAATTAAACTGGATTACCACAAACTGACATCCACACGATGGACCTGGAGTGTTCATGGTCTTGGTCGCTGGTTCAGCATCAAACCATTCTTATGTTTCCAGGTTTTTCTCTCTCTGCTCTGTCTAAAGTTTTCAGGTGGACGTTCACTCACTGTTGTTTTCTGCAGTTCGGATATAGAGAACGTGGCGGAGGAGCATCCGAGGAATGGGAGGACGATCAGCGAGTCCCTGCAGGCGGCTGATCAGGAGCTGTCAGGCAGGAGGAAACCAGCATTAGTCAGGTAAACAACAACAACACATGTTTGTTTGTTGGTTATTTCTTTTAAAATGTAGACATCATCAAACATTAGCAGGGTTCTCGCTCGGACAGCAGGATTGAGATGAAGTCATTTTTAGATTTTGACATGATGGTGGTGATGTAGCGAGACAGAGGACAGCAGAGTTAATCAAAACTTTATGTGAAATGTGGACATCAGGTTTTAAGACATGAATAAATGGGTTAGTGCCAAATCCTTTTTCCATTAAACCTGAATTTATTAAGTTGTATAATTTACCTCAGGAGGTGGTGGAGACCCAACACGGAGCTCAAAGAGACATTACTCAGTCGGACACAAACATCAGTGTGTTAGTGTGTAGTCACAACTTAATAAGAAGGACTCTGATCGTCTGTCACTTTGTTAACTGTTTGTTGAACTCAGTTTTACACGTGTAATATATGGAGGGATCATATAAATACATTTGAATGGGTGAACTAAGGGCTGCAGGCAGGCATGCATGTAAGAGGTGATTTATATATTAGTTGCACAACGAGATAACTCCTCTGTCTGTATTGATTTTGTCGTCCGCAGGTCAAAGACCTTTGACCACACTCTGCTGACTCAGGTCCAGATGGACTCAGACTCTAAGATAGACAGGAAGAAGTCTCACTACAGCCAGGTGAGTTTTCAGGAATCAACTCTGACACGTATTTAATGACACCTGTCGATTCCAGATGAGTCAGATCACACATGATTTCTGCTGACGGACTCTTTAACAACATCCTTATCGTACTGATGATCCCTGACAGTGGGTGGAACTGCTCCGAACCCCAGAGAGCCCTCATTTAGCGGTAGCATTAAGTATCAGTGAGTGTTTTATGAGCTAAGTTAGCTAAGGTAGCTAAGTCACAGCTGATGACCAGGTTTGCATTAATATCATTATTATCACATTTATCTCAGAACATCACAAAATATAACAAAAAAACATTTTTGTGTATTCAAAATCTGTGAGGTCTACGTTTTATACATCAAGCATCACTCAGCGTGATCTATATAGATGGAATATAGATATAATTATCTATATAAGCCTGTCATTATAACCCTGTGTGTGTGTGTGTGTGTGTTTCAGCTGTCTAAGAGCAACTGCCACTACCATAAAATATTTAAGGAGATCAGCAAAGAGGAACAGCTCAGACAGAGTAAGTCTTTCATGACCACAACTATCTGCTCCACCTTAAATACTGAATGAGGGTTTTGATAAAAGCTGTGTCCCAGTTGAGGGACAGTGTCCTTCAGAGGACACGAGGACCATTAAAGCTGAATCAAAATAAAAACTTCGCCAGCAATTCACGCAGTTGCTGTTGCATTGTTAGCTCCTTGGTCGCTCACATAGTTTGGCTCCATACTCACAAGAGATTGGTCGCTGGCACACAATGAATCCTGGGATACGTTGTTCCCAGGAGCATCCGTCCTTCGTTGATGGGAATTGATTGACGCTTTTGAAATGGGGCAGCCTAGTGGCAGCGCTGTGTCTTTAAGGTGCAGCGGCCGAAGGGCTCGACCCCTGAATTGAGACACAGCTGATGATTTATGGTTTGATTCCCATGAGTTGTACGTTTAGGTGATGATTTAATCCTTTTAACGGAGTTGCTGAGTGAATGTGGATTCCCTTGGGTAATTTGATGTTCTTCACCTGTTGGTCAGGTTACACCTGTGCTCTGCAGAAAGACATCCTCTACCAGGGACGGATGTTTGTCTCCGACCACTGGATCTGCTTCCACTCTAAGGTGTTTGGCAAAGACACAAAGGTATTGTAACCTGAGACGGAGTTTAACGTTATTTATGCAACGAGAGGCTGTTTTTGGTGACATGGACATTGAGCTGCATCATCACTGTGGACGTCGGTTTAAATGATCAACATTTACCTGAAGAAGCTTCTCAGAGAACTTACAATAAAGGATGAGGTTTAAAATCGAGCGCTGCGTCCCACAGGATGAGTGACACTGTGCGGACAGAGAGTAAACTAGTCCCCGCAGGACACAACTGTTCATCCTGATGTTTGTGCGTCACAGATTGCCATCCCCGTGGTGTCCGTCAATCAGATCAAGAAGACCAAAACGGCCATCCTTGTGCCGAACGCTCTGGTGATCGCCACCGCAAACGACAGGGTGAGCGAGTGGAGCCACCATCTCACCTTGATTATGATATGTGATATATTATTCAGATATTATATTTAATGCCTTGTCCATGTAGGAAAGGATGTTTGGTAGTTTTGCCAGTTGACTCAAACTGTAAACTGTGTTTTCTGTTGCAGTATGTGTTCGTGTCTCTTCTGTCCAGAGACAACACCTACAAGATCCTGATGTCCATCTGTCTTCATCTGGAGGTAGGACAGGTTTCCCACATGTGGCTGTAAGCTGGGGTCGGGATACGTTAACAGACAAACAGGCTGGTGTTAAGAAGTGTCGAGATATTTGTTAAAGCACCAGTTCACCTACGCATCCAATGAAATGAAGAGTTTGAATCCTGTGTTAACATTTATCTCTTGTCATAAAACCAACATCATCATATTCTTACATCCACATCTTCTCTGTTCGCTCATTTTGCATCCGATCAGAAAACTCCCTGGAATGTTTTAACGGTGCATCTCGACCTACGTTGTTCCGTTTATGGATTAAACACGGTGGAGTAGTCAGAGGTGGTGGCCTGAAGTCAACAGAGAGCAGCTGTTAACACGACAGCTGCCTCCACAGCTTCATGTTTTTACCAGACACACATCGAAGAATTCAAACAGCTCTGACACGTGTCCATAACCACACGTGTGTAAACTTGATTTCAACTGGATTGTGAGGCTTTAAGATTAAACAGCTAGTTTAATAAATACGATTCCACCAAATGCTGTAATTGTTTCACGTATGTGATTATTGACTATAAGTATCAACTGTATTTAAAGGAGAAGAGTCCCTGCAGCAGCCCCATCCCCTCCTCAGCAGAGAGCAGCTTCAGAGGTCAGAGGTCACCGCTGACGCCTTGCTTCCCTCTGGTGAGACAAACTCATCAACACTAGCGTCTGTAGATGTTCGGACTTGTTAGATCACATGTTGTCTGTGCGCAGAGTTTCTCTGGTGACTTCATCGACCTGGACGGAGCAGTGAGGCAGAGGAGGCAGGAGATGGAGGAGAGCAGCAGCTCCGACTCACAGACGCCAGAGTACGAGAAGATAGCAGGTAACGTGAAGGCAGCGCCCGACAGAACACACCTACTGTAGATACCAGGACCGACCAGCGTCTTGCTCAAAGACACCTCAGCAGGAAGTAAACAGTCGCCTCCACCGTCTCTTCACTGCTGCAGAGTTTCCTGTTCCTCCGTTTCTGGATGTGTTCAAACACACAGACAGAGCGGCGGCTCCTGAACGTCAGGACCAGCAGCACACGATGAAGAACCAGCATCAGAACCAGAACCAGAACCAGAACCAGCATCAGAACCAGCATCAGAACCAGCATCAGAACCAGCATCAGAACCAGCATCAGAACCAGCAGAACTCTGACAACAAGCGGCATGAGTCGCAACATGGCGGTACGATGGCTCCTCGTCACGCTTTCCTCCAACTCATTGACCACTCGTCCTACATAAGAGCCAGACCCCCCCTCGTTTCTTTGCTTCTCTTCACAGCCCCCCCCCCCC